CAATTCGAGCAGCTGAGTCCTTAGCCATCTTCAAGAAACAGCTAAAAACACATCTCTTCCATCTATATTTGACCCTCTAACTCTAGCACTCTCTACTGTAATTCTATTTTATCTATTTGTTGACTTGACCCTCTAACACTTGCACTCTCTATTCGTTTTCCAACTGCTTGTTTTCTTAAAAAAAGGCCTCTAACACTAGATTTCTCTATTCTATCTACTTGTTTTCTTTTTGTTATGTGTATGTATGTGTAAAGTGTCTGCTAAATGACTACATAAATAAATAAATAAAAAGGGCCTCTAAATATAAAAAATAAAGTGGAATAAAGATTGGATTGTGCCCTTGATTAGCTTGTGATGAGCTGTTGGTAAAATTTGTGTTGGTGTGGATGTTGATGTTATGTGAGACAGTGACATTTTGTTTTTAAAAATATGAATTCAATAGAGATTCACACTCAAAATCCAGGAAAATATTAGTCATGGAGAATGGCATTAATAATGTAAGGTTTTCCTGAATTTTGAGCATGAATCACTATTGAATCCTTGTTACGAACTAAAAAGATTTATGCACCAAAACAAGACAACATAGGTGACAAGAGAGTGCGATGTTAACGTCCTTGTAGAATCTGCTGTATAAAAATAACATAATAAAGCAAAAAAAAAAAAGACAAGAAAACCAAAAATCTCGTAACACCGGACACAAAAACACGAAGGAGACTCCCATCCACCATCATTCAAGGTGATTTAATACAGTGTTTATTCAAAGTACCTGCATCCTGGAGAACAATCTTCATCTGTGGATGTTTGTGTGTCATCCATGATGAAACAGAATCTGATCTCCAGCACTGACTCTGAATAGAAATGACAAACAAACTCAATAATTCAGCTGAACGGATCCTGAGAGAAACAGATCATGAGACGCGGCGTTCACTCAGATACACAATGTTAGTCGTGTGTTAACAAATGATCAAATAAACCACAGACAACACCAAACACCAATCAAACCACGTGCATCTGCTTGCAAAAGAAAATATGAAACATATAAAACTAAACGTCCTTTAGAGGAAATATGAATGCAGAAGTCACTGTAAAGCACCTGAGCATCAGCACTCACTTTATTTACACAGATTCACAAAATCCACCGCCTTTCTATGAAGCAGCTACACGTTAATCATGGCTTAGCTTTTATAAAGGTTACTGTGAAACACTTTAATATTCCGTATAGAAGCAATTCTGGAGAATCGAAATTTAAATGGAGAAACATGAACTCTGAACATTTGCTTTCACTCTTTATTTGACGGCAAAAAACAATGATGACGCAGACACTCCACGCAGCTATAATGCTTAAGGGAGCGTCTTTAAACTCCAGACACAGCGGGAAAAACGTTTGCGATCTCAAATCATTCGTTCAAATAATGTACATGTTTTAGCATACAAAATCATTTTTTAAAAATCTAGCATTTGTACAAAAAAAAAAAGAAGCAGTGTATAAATCAAGAGGCAACCTCCCCGTCTCGCTCTTGAAACCTACACGGAAGTGACTTAAACTACTGGCTGCTAGAGACCGGCTCCAAAAGGGAGTCAGGCCCATAGACTAGGGTGACCATATTTTAGTTTTCCAAAAAGTAACCCAAGTGC